GTAAGATGTTTGGACAGGATCTTGAATGCGATGCCAGCCTTCTTCCCAGCAACCTGGTTGGCGGCAAACTGCAGGCGGCCCCTCAGCCTCTCGCAGTCTTTCCTAGCCAGCACTCCTTTTTCGATGATAGAAGAAAGACTTTCTCTCAGCTCCTCGCGTCGAGTCGTCGTATTCCTCATGTAGAAGTTGCCGAGGTAGGATTCGCGCAAGTCAAACTCCAGGCCTAAGACTTTTGCCACGCCTCCGAAGATGGTAGGCTTGTCTGGAGACGTGTCCCAGCCAAGGATCTGAAAAAGCGATTCAGCACAAAGGTCAAAGAGCCGTGTAAGTGGCGGGACTTCGTTGCCGACAAAGTCGTCGTAATACACTGACCACATCAAAGCCAGCTGAATCGCCCCAATCGTCCAGATGCCAAGTGAAGTTCTGCAGAACGAGTGGACCGACGCACGAGCGCCGAAGGGCAACACGCACTGCTCGTAGATCTCTGCTTTCCCCGACCGGGGGTTGTACACCGAGAGATAAGCTTCCTCCACCGCCGAAGTGCTCAAAGGAAGATTCTTATACGCCTTGTGTAAGTCATAAGATTTCATCTCGAGCCCGCCGTGCCGTCGGCACTTTGGGTCGCGCTTGAGACGGTAGGCAATGGAAGCGGCGATTGCATCCGCCGTGTGCACAGTCACCGAGTCTTCGGCTGAAGTCGTTGAGTTAACCCCAGAGGCCTTGAAGTCATCTATAGGCCTACACTTGCCGCCCTGCCAAACGCCGAAGCGGCGCGAGAGGACAGCATTAGGACCTAGCGAAGCAGGATCGATAGGTCCTCGTAACCACCCCTTGGCGACCTCCTTGTCAGTGGCCGCCATGAGGGCCTCATCAAGTTCGGGGTCCCCGGAACTTTTGGTGGCGAGAAGAGTTGCTTCCCTCATCACAGCTGCAGAGCTCCGGAGGTCAGATACGGATAAGGAAGCAGGTGACAGCTTGGGGCGATATGCAGGATTCCTCGGGATCGCACCACTGAGGTCAAAACCCTTGGCGATGTCTATCTCTAGGTCCTCGTGGCCACACTCCTCGAGCATGGTCCTAAAAAGGACCAGCCGCTTCCGCCCCAGGACACGTTTGCAATGTTGCGGCATTGAGTCACGCAACTCCTCTTCCTCGGCTTCCAGCTCACGGGCCTTGCTGATCCAATGCCGGAGCCTCTCGGTGCGTTGGGCTCCTATCTCATGAAGCGACATGTCAGCAAGACGGTCGATGGCCGCCTTGGAATGTGATGGCACACCGTCCAAGAGGTGACGGGGGTGCCCAGCTTTCAGTGCTTGCTCAATGAACTCCTGAGGTTTCCAAGGGATGCCTACGGCCACCTTGTGCATACGGCCACTTTCTGGCATGCTGCAGGACGGGATCCCAGGTGGTGGCTTAGTCAAGGAGCTGGGGCCTAAACCAGACTTACGGGTGGCTGCCTCGGGACCGGCCGTTGGGCAGCACTCTGGGGAGCTTCCAGGGAGGCCGAAACCAAGGTCTACAAGCTGTTTCTTCTGATCGTCAAGAAGTTTGTGGTGATCGCGTATCGCATAGGCAACAAGCGTGATCCTGGGTCCCCCACACCATGGAGCTTGACAGTGTCTACCACTCGGATCAAAGATTATTCGTCGGCCCTCGAAGTCAAGAACATTTCCCAAAAGCTCGGGGTGGCCAGGATCAGGACAAGCGACGGAGCCACTAGGTGATTCGATCCACACTCCCCCTTGCTCGAAGGAGGAAATCTTCAAGACCGCATTCGGTAGTCCTGGCTCATTGTTTCTATCGGTATGCACCTTGCCTGCGAGGTTCTTGCCCAGCATCAGGGAAGTGAAAGGATGGCCCGGGGCAACCCGGCGCACATACTCGCACAAGAGTTTGCTCACACTGGGGTGCGATGAGGTGTTGGAACGCAGGCCCACCTTGTTGGCATGAAAGAAGGCACCACATGACCAGGAGAATTCATCAGTGCCTCGTCCGCCCCTAGACGGGGTATCCGAGACAAGTAGCTCACACAAGTGGCAAATGCAGTCGCGCCATGCTTCGTTGCTGGCTGACGCTCCCAAGTGGAGAGCATAATGCGAGAAAGCTTCGGGGTCCATCTGGTCGTCCTCCATGATGGCTGAGTTTCCATCATCCTCCGCCTCGGCATTAGGGGCAACTGTGGGATGCGACACAGGTGTGGATGAGGCGGCTGAGTTACTTGAGCACGATTCCTGCGCTCCAGCTGGCACAACCCCAATGACACTCTGGCGCAGGATCCGAGTGCCCGCGGGAAGCGTCGGCAGTGAGGGCGAGCATGAGACACAAGGTGGAAGGGGGGTATCGGCTTCCAACTTACGCACGCCGGGAAAGAGGGGTTCAGGACTAAGAAGAACCACAATCTGCCGAAACTCGGGCACAAGGGGTGGCACGCGCTTGCTGCGAGGTTGCACACCAGCTGCAACCTGAGACTCACGCAGGGGAAGGGCAGCACCAGGCGCAAGGTATGAAGCGGGTGCAGGGTGGCCACGTTCGGCGGCAGCACGGACAATGATGTCGGCCATACGTTGGCAGAGCACACGAGGGTAGACCTTCTCGGCGGCTGTGTCGAAGGCACCTGAGGATCGCGACCAGGGCAGGTGGCGATGAGATGTTGATTCCCCCGGGCAGAGAAGGGATAGCTCGTGTAGCAAAGGGACATTATGGGCTAGGCGGGTGAGCTTGGCACGCTCACCGCCGTGTTGGCAGTTATGAAAAAGGGTTTCCTCAAACTGCAGGTCGGCAACGGCAGTGAGCCACATGGTCGTTTGCCAGAAGTAAGAGCGGCCTGGATTCTCGCAAGAGACGAGCTTCCCAGAACGGATGCAGTGTGCAAAGATCTTGCCAGTGACGGCATAAAGGTCGTTGGCCTTAGCAACGCGAATGCGGAGCTCGCCAGTGAGGTCTGGTAGCCCATCCGGGTGGGCATCACTTCTCGCGGGAGCAGGTAGGCTTTCACCGCGACGAAAAATTTCACGAGCACGACTCGCTGTTCCACAAGGGGGAGCGATGTGCACATAAAGGCAAAAGGGAGAATCGATCAGATCAAGAACCATCTTTACATGTTCGGGATCAAGGGGGTCCAGCTTAAGGACGGGAGAAATCATTTGCTTTGGGGCAACATGGTCGATTCCGATGCTATCTCGGAACCCCGCACGCCGAAGTTCGGCAGTGAGCCTGCCTGAGCCTGAGAAAATTTCAATGCAGAAGAGGGAATCAATCCTGAAAGCATCAGCACCGCAAAGAGAGTGCCCGGCATCAAGTAGCGGCCCCTCCACAGGGCTCGCAGCCTCAGCAGGACGAGAAGGAAAACAATGCGATTTGCTGGATGCAGCGGCCGATGCTTGCGGGGTTGAGGCGCTCAGTGAAGCATCCGATGAAACACTGGGCGATGGAAAACACGGTGCTGGCACGCTGTCGGGCTCAGGCAGGCATGCGCTTCATGGCTTCTTTGGACACGCATGCGCGGGGTGGTGACCGCCACAACGCATGCAGTTGTGCAGACCCCTGGGGCAGGATTGGCCGACCTTGGCATTAGGACACCCACTAGCCATATTGAATCCCCAGCAGCGGCGCTTTCCGGTCTTAGTCCAAGACGAAAGGCCTTTGAGTTCTTCTGGAAGATTGCTAGGCTCACGCAATGTCTTGGTTTTTCCCTTGCCGGTACCTTTGCGCTGCTTCTTGGTCGGGGTGTCTGTGGGCTCAGGTTTGAGCTCGGTGCTCTCTCGCTTGAGGGCACCACCTTCTCGCGGGAGGAGATGAAAAATCACCTTCGGGTCAGTCTGCAAGCGGGCCCACAAACTGTCAAGAGGCAAAGCCCCGGCTGCATCTCGACGAATCCCGTCGGGGGTAAGCTCTGCCAGGCGCATCCAGGCAGCACGGTCCGCATGCAGAATTTGTTGCACAGAAGTGGCACGGCTGCCAGCAATGGGCTCCTGATGAAGGTGACCCAAGAGGAAATCCACGAAGCCCTGAACCCTAAAGTAATCAGTCACACCGATCAAGTCAAGAGCAAGGCTTCGACGGTGCATGGCATGGTGAAGGCTCAGTGCAGTGGAAGTATCGCATGACTGATCGGGGTCACGATCTCTCACGACCAGTGTTGAAGCCTGTACATCCAACTCCTTCCGCGGTTTCTCGGAACGCAGCTCAGCTTCACGAGTGATGAACTTGGCCGGGGAAAGGTAGCTGATGCAGTTATCAGTAAGAAGCTTCATGCAGAGGTCATACGAGGCGTAGCTGCACTCAGTCTGGCCAGACATGGTGATGCCTCTAAGTTTGTTGGCCTGTGCTCGGATGCGCTCGCGGCGCTCCGCGGGGGCTAACTCCTTGACCTCGTTCTCCTTGTTCTCAACGAGTGCCTTGGTCTGGCTGACCAAGAGGGTCTGTGCTTCGAACACCAGGTGTCGAACCGCTGCGATGGATCCCAACGGCGGGGCTGCACCTCCCACCTTGATGAGGGCCGACAACGACTCCTCGGTCGGCGTCTCGCCGGGCTGGCAAGGGGCGAACGCTAGCTTCGCCATCGTGTCGATGGTCTGTGCAACAAGGCGATCCACTGCTTCCTGAGGGAGGCCCACACGTTTGGCTCGCTCCAGGAAGACTGCCTTGGACTCTACAAGGGTTTGCGCCATGATCTCCGATCCTATGTGCACTCACAGAAACTGGTCTTGAGACACGCACATGCAAAGGACCAATCATGCACACAGTGATTGCAAGCTTTGCATGTGGACAACGCACTGCTGGTCATCATCGCATCGCCGAGCTTGGTCCGCCCGTCCGGACCCCGTGGCGGCCACGAGGTAAACCAAAGGTTCCACTGAAACCCTTGTTTGCCCGGACGAGTCTCCGAACCATGCTCTGGATCGGTGCGCAATTGACCACTCGTCCATCAGACATGACTGTGAAGCTCAGCGATACACTGAAGTGGTGATCCGCAAGCATCGCACGTCACACGACATTTCTCACTTAGAAGCGCCCTGCTTCTTAGCGATGAAACTCGCCATGGCCCCTGCGTCGCGGAGGGGCCGGCCTGCTGTGCATTGCTTGCACAGCCATCTACTGCTGAAGACCTTTCCACTGAAAGGCTTCATATTGTCAAGCGACCTTCCACAGATCAACTTGCCAGTAGAACCCTTCGCTCGTGAGTGAAGGCTCTTGGTCTTCGGGTTCTGAAAAATGTCTAAATCAGGGCCCATGTTCACAGACGGGATCGCATTCTGCGCTTCGCCTGCTCCAAAACTCTCATAATGAGTCTCCTCCTCGGACTCACCGGAACTCTCAGACTCGCTGCTCGAGGCTTCGTGAACGTCTTCTTGTTCACCCAGGTCCTGATCATCAGGAGGTTCTACGCCTCCATCCTCGGCCAGCTCAACTTCGGGAGCGCACTCGAAGCTCTCGTGAGATGGCGAAAGATTGGCACGACCCAAGGGTGCCAAAGAGAATCGCGACTCACGGATGGTCGCACCTTCTGCAATCATCCCGCTCTTCGTGCGATCCGGATGGAAAACCCCCTGCCGGATGGCACCAAGACATTCTGCAAGATCTCGTAGCGGCTGCGCCTGCACTTCGCGAGCGTAAGCTTCTTGCGTTTTCCCACTTGGACCTAAGCTATGGTGTCCCAGGACAAGTTGCGTCCTCTCACTGTATCCAGCCTTCGAGGTCCAAGAAAGCGGCGTTGCCTTCAAGCCGTGCGAGGAGAATGTAAGATCTTCTTCGGCCGCCTGCAGCCGTGAAAGCAACGCCCTGATCCATGTAGTGGTCTCGTTGGCATCGATGGCATCCCTGCTCCAAGAGTAATCGCAGGCCAGGCGGGGGAGCAACGGCCCGCGATGCCCCTTCTCGAAGTCGAAGCCAACGGCCTTCGCCGCCTCTGCCCAAGCGGCGCCCCAAGGCTTCTGGTGGAGCCCATGGTACGGCGCAACCAAAATGAGCACGGCCCCCGGTCCACTGCTCAACCGGCAATTCTTGTGCTCATAAGTTCTGACCTCGATGAAACCCGTATCGCCATCAAGGTCAAGCTCAAGCTTCGAAATGTTCCTCAGATCGGACACTCGAGCCCTGGAGTAAAGCTGGAACAAGAAGACCCCAGTAGCGTACCTGTCCACCTTGTCAAGGGCTCCCTCTATCAGCGCTCCTTCGAGGAGGAGCACCTCCTCGACCTTCAGGACTCTCGATCGTCTCGGGTCACAGGTGCGAATGTTGGCTCCCCGCAGCGCACCCTTGACCCAAGGGTTGTCACTGATTCCTTGTTCGACCTCAATTCCGAGAACATGTTCCAGGAATTCACAGTTTCCATAGCCTCACGAATGGCACTGTTCCTGGCTTCGGCTGCAAGTGGTTTGAGGAAGCTCACAAGAAACTCGAGGCTCACCGGGAAAGCCTTCACATGATGCTTGTCGGCCCAACAAATGAATCGTGCAGAAAATCGGGCTCGCTTAAGCAAAGTCGATGTTGCTTTCCCAGCCAAGGCCTGCGCCACGACCCCCAAGGGGTCAGATTCGCCTTTCGCCCAAATGAGAACCCCCAACCTCGAGGCACCAGGTGAGTGGCTCAGAACACAGAGCCACCGACGTAGGACATTTTCTCGATCGACACCGGCCTTCTCGCCTGCCTGTAGCCTGGGCTTCTTAAGCACAGCCTCAAAGACGGGCACAACCTTGGTACACTGCAGAGCCACCGGCAGCGGCTCGTCTGAATCACCCGGCCGCCTGTACTGCGTGGCTGGCGGCGGCACGACTCTTGGCACCTTGACGCTATGAAGGTCGACGCTTCTGCCTGGTTTTCCTGAAAAAATGGCAGACAAGGCCTTATTCCTGTCCCACGGATAGCTGAGTGGGGCCACAACATCATGAGTCAAGTGCTGGAGGTGTTGCTCGAAACAATCACATAGATCGGAGGCCGAAGCTTCAGCAGCCATCGAAGAAACCCCACGAGCCAAGGCCCTGAAGCGAGGCCGTTCTCACGGCAGGGGCTGCAGACCAGCCCTAATTGCAACGAAGAGGATTTCCTGCAAGAAATCGCTGCGAGTGGAAGCACTCGAAGCCAGCAGAGCTGTTCTAGCAGCAGGATCAAGGAAGTTCCACAGCGTAATCGTCACTCGCACTTTGCACACGGGTCCCGAGGCAAAGACGCAATCAAAACTAAGATCGCTAAAGTGAGAGCTCGCTGAGGTACTTGCCAAAGACGCGGAGGACTCACTGTCCTCGTAGTCCATGTAGCGACCCGCCCCACTCGCTAGAAGCACCAGATTAGCACCCAGGGCCTTTTAGAAAGATCCTAGACGTGTCTACCGGGTGGCCTGCCACACCTACCAGTGCTCACTCCCCTTGCAGCGAGAGCAAGCCCTCAAGCCACTATTCCGTCGGGGGAACCCTGGCAACGGTGTGCGGCACCACAGCAGAAGGATCTCGAGGCTCACACAAAATTTTTTTCCGACTGTGATCCGGAAAACTGCGCAGTTCGTTCACATCAAGACATGTTGTAGAGATGTTGCCGCAACTTGCATGTGAAAAGATTTGCCCGATAAAAGTCGAAACGGAAAAGTGGGAAACAAAGGAAAAACTACAGTTTTTCCTTCAAAAACAAAATCTGGAAATAATACCCTGTCAATCACGATTGAAGGGTGGCTCTCTCTCTCTCTCTCTCTCTCTCTCTCTCTCTCTCTCTCTCTCTCTCTCTCTCTCTCTCTCTCTCTCTCTCTCTCTCTCTCTCTCTCTCTCTCTCTCTCTCTCGGACTCAGGGAGTCTACCACTGTCTACCACACTCAACACTACATGCTAAAAGTCATGCAGCACTGAAGATTCACAGCGATGCAAAACATGAATGAAGGTACGTCTGGCCCTCTGGATGCAGCCCGAGAATCGTTTCATCGATCTGCAGTGCTTGGGCTCGGGTTGTCGCGGCATGCGGCAGTGTCGGCATTGCCAGAGTCATTGTCCGTCCTGCATGGCAATCACACAACACAGTCTGGGTCACAACACAGCTTGGTTGATTGTATGGGTTTATGCAGACATGCAGCCGTCATGATCATGCAACTCATGCAACCATGCTGTCTATCGCCCAAAACAAAAGCCAGTGCAGTCAATGCAATCGGCCATGAGGACATGTTGCTACAGCACTGGCAGCATACAGCATGCACCTGCTAGCCTGTGCAGAGCCTGTGCAGCTACAGCAGCTACATCAAGATAAACACTGAAACCAAAGCCCAGCATCTGGCTCAGCAGCATCGAACATAGTGGGCATGGCCGATGTGTAAATTGAGCATTCCTTGTCCTGGTCACAGGCACACAACGGGTCAACATGGACACTAAGGGCCCTAGGGTTTAGGGGCCGGCTTTGGGTGTGACCGTAACCAGTACTGCACTGGTGCAATTTAACTGCAGTAGCAACCAAAGGCGTGCCTGCTTCTATCGTGAACTTCCGGATCATTGAGCAGCATGGATGTCACAAAATCCGGCAGTGTAGGCAACAATCGCACCAGAACTGCACTCATCTGAACAATGTCTGCAAAAGTCTCCCCTGTGCGGATATTGTCACGAAGTTCCTCCGTGATTCCATCTGCACATCGACTGTGCCAGAACAATAGACAGAATGAGCATTGCTTGGGAATCTCTGTGGGAGGGGCCATGCTTCCAGAACTCTTCTTACTCCCTGCAGCTCCCACCTGCCCGCACACAATGCACTTCTTTTGTTTCTTGGTCTTGGCCTCTTGCCAGGTGACCTCCATGCTGGCGTCCTGAATCACTGACTGAATGCTTGAATGGCTCGGCTCACCCGCCTATGCTAACTTCACAAATGCCTGCACCTGGTGCACATGACTCACATCTTTCATGGAGTGGTTCCGATGCATCTAGAAAAAGGACGGCTGCTCTCACTCATGCGACTCATGCCCATGCTCATGCAAATATGCAACCAATTCCAGTCAAGGATCCCGTTTCGTCCATGCACAGTGCAAACCCATGAAACGAGCAAATCTGATGACTTCGGGCGGCAGCTCATGTCGTAGCATACCGCATGTTCCCTTCTGTTTGCGGGATGAGGCTGCACAAGCATTGACCAGGCAATCAAAAACATCTGGAGGGAATGATTGTGAAGGTACCTGCTTGCCAAAAAGAACAGGCGGCGAATAAACGACTCTGAAATTCTTGTCGATTCGGACACTGCGGCCCGTCCTCGTCGCTGCATCCACCCATTTCACAAAAAAAAGTTGAAAGCCGTCACATTCTTCCCTGCTCTGCAATGAAAGAAGTAAAGATACCTCATCGTTATGACCCAAAGGTAGCTCGTTACGATCAGCACGATATGCCAAGGCTTCAGCTGTACGTCGAAATTCAGCATGCCACTTGGCCACGAATCTAGGCAATCTATCTTGTGCAGTGCCGCCGTTGGCTTCACCCTCGTCCGTGGAACCAAGCTCCCCAGAAGCAACAGACGATGCAGATGCAGCCGACGTGCAAACGTCCGAATCATCGAAAACAAAAGCTACTCTGCCTGGGGGATTCCCGCTTCGGCTGGCTTGGCTGGCTTGGCTATTGGCCTGTGGATTCCGAATCGACCCCGGGACAGCTTCGGACTCGGACTGTTCTGCCACGAATTTGCGAGCCAAGTCATCGATCACCTCATCATAAGAAGCACCTTGGTTGAATTGACGAATCAAGAGTAGGACTGCTTCCTCCTCCAATTCTTCATGTGTCAACACAACTGATTCACCGTGTGTTTCCCGCAAATGGTTGACCACCTGGTCAATGATTTTGTCGGACCTTGAGTGCTGTGCCAGTGGCTCGCAGTGTTGTTCACCGACAGAAGCAACCTGTGTTCTTTCGACAGTCCTCTCTTCATCCTTTGAACAATCGGCTAAGGCAGCATCAGATCGGGCAACTGCATCCTCAGATTCGTTGCACAACAACTCGTACTCATCATCAACCGGCCCATCATTCTCATCATCCTCTATCTGATCCACATTCCCACGGCCTGTGCCACTCCTTTCTTCAGTCACTTCACCAGCCCGTGATGGTGTGCTTCCTTGACCAGCTTGACCAACACTTCCCTTCGCCTTCCCGATTTGAACCATCATGGACGGCTCACCTTCAAGCAGCGATTGTACAGTCTGCGAATCAGACATGGGCCGCAAAGAAGGGGCATCGGCATCGGCATCTGCCAATGCACTCAGCGACTCCGGAGCCCTGATGATTTCAAGGCTCCCAAGTCGTCCCTCGACTGTGCTTTGTTTCATGCGAGCTGGTGCATGGAAAAGACAAAGTTGACTTTTATCTTCTTTGCAAGCCTTGTAGTGGGTGGAGAGCACATCAGTCAATGACACAAATCGTAGACTGCCTCCAGGAAGCATGAAACCACCATCCTGAAGACATGCGACTCAAATCAATCATTGCTGGGCAATGCATGTGTGCAGCATGCAAACACTCCGAACACATGAAGATCACACGAGTGACAGACGTGACATGCCACATGGTGCATGCTGCCACATGCTGCTGCTGCCACATGCTGCCACATGCTGCTACACTGCTACACGCTGCCACATGCTGCCACATGCACTTCCCACACTGATTCCTGCACTCATGAGACTCATGAGTGCAAGCGACAGCGACATGCCATGACATGGAACTGATCCTAAATTGAACTCACTCAATCAATCAATCAACTGAGATGAGGTCAGGGCTCATGACCAACTCGACTAGCAAGTATCTGGTACGAAGTGCGGCCACATGAAGGTAAGCGGACGATGTATCCAGCCGACGGTACGATGCCAACGGAAGCTCTGACCATGACTCATCCTCACGATTGTTCAAAAGCGATCCACGAGAAGTGCCTTGCAGAACTAAAACCGACAGCATCGTTTGCTGTGTCGCCAGGGAAAACTGCTTGCATGCGGTCTCACGAACCCGTTTCCACTTGAGTGCTTGAGCGGCAGCAAATTTTGAGGCATCCGTTGTCTTACTGTCTGGAATGGCTTTTGCCAAATCCACATTCTGAAGAGCTGGGTGGAGGTCTTTACATGCGATGCCCTTGGTGGCATGTGGGTCAAATCTTGTCTTGTCCTGCAGCACTAGTTTGTACCCATTACCACTCTGGTTGAGTTCCTGAAGCAAAGGACCAGCTGCTCGTCGAACGTCGCTCCACTTCTTCACAGCTCGGCCTTTGGACGTTTTGCCAGCCACCTGCGACATGGTTTTCTTGATAATGATTCTAGAGCTCATGCCCAACAAGTCCATGCGAGGGCACCGCTGACCCAGCATGCGAATCTGGCTGTTCACTGACTCGATCAGCTGTGTATCTCCGTGCCAAACGCTTGACAATGATTTCATCAGTGCAAACAGAAGACTTCCTTGTGGAGTCGCTTTCAGGTCGAAGTACGACTCTTTAGCAATGAACTCAAGCTCCGCACGGCAGATATGTTTGATCTTCAGGGTGTTCGCTTCCAAATCGGAATCTGCCGTGGAAAGAATCTCGGCTGCAATTCCTGATATAGCAAAGGAACGTCTGCACGTGGGTTTGTAAGGTTGTCAGACTGGTGTTTCAAACTCAACTCCAATCTGTCTAACACAACAGAGCAGCTTCTACGAGCACCACACCGCCGTCCAGGTGACTGGGAAATCAACCACATCAACTTGAGAGGAAACCTCGGTCGCAATAGTGAGCAACATAACATACACAAACAGTTCAGTTTCATTGTTCAAAACAATTTCATGATCATGCCTTGCAACGACTCTGCAACGACTGTCACACCAGAGTCACACCACACGCTGCACTACTACAGCACAACATGCAAGAGTGCTAGGCAAGGGCAAGACTCAAGATATGTTTGCATAACGAGCAGCTTTTGGCACTGAGATCGAACACGAAGCTCAAACCCACCGGCTCCCGCCAAAACCAACCTCAAGGCCAAGTCCTTGACTAAAGCCATGAGTTCATCTGAAAACTTCGCATCGGCTTCTTGCACTGCTGAGGCGAACCACTGGTCGAAAGAAGCAAGGAGCCCATCGAACTCTTTGCGAATCGCTTCTGCTTTGCTCGTGACCAATCGAAGCAAGAGCTGGCAATCCGTGTATTTCTGCATCCAATGAAAAAAATGCCTGAGAGGCGCCCTTGTTTGGTTTGCTACCCGAAGGAGAACCCAGTAAAGATCGGACTGGATGGCAGCTAATGCACCTTTCGCCCATTTGGACATACGAATTTGATAGGATTGTTTCTCATCGTCGTCGTCCTGTAAGCACGTCACGTCGTCGTGACC